ATATAGTATATGTAGACAATATATATTAGCATTTAGCATCGATTAAATTGTATAGATACAATCACAAATCATACAATCAAGTAAAATAATTAATAAAGGAGCTAGGAATCACATGACAATCTTGTACACATGTCAAAGTTAATACTAAGGATGCCAAACATTTCGATTATAATATTACAAAAGAGTCACTATTATATTGCTGTCCCTAATTGGGGTTGGACATTGAGACACGTGTCGAGTGAAAAAATTAAATTAAAAAAATAACCGATCTAAATTGGGCATCTGGAATAGTAATAAATTAACGTGGGGTTTTTTTTTTTTTTTGTTTTTTTTAGATAAATAATTAAAGTGGAGTTGGTACGTAGTAACTTGTACACCTGAGAGATTACTGATGTTTACAAGTGAATTAAATTGTCCACTTATGTAAATGGTTAATTGGGCGGTGGGTTTGTCGAAAAGAACTACACAAGGAGAAAAATATTAAAAAATTGGCCACAAATAGTAGCAACTTAAAAAAAAATTGACTAAGTACTATTATGTCTTAGCTAAATGAACAGTATTTTTCATTATTCTTCTCTCACAAGTCTTGAGAAGTTAGAAAAAAGTGCTTTTCAATAATAGTGGTTTCTAATAGGACTGTGACAAACAATCGAAACTCCAAAAGCCAAAATTGGTGCAATAATATTAATTTAGTAAACTATACCAATAGTAATTAACTGTTCAAGGAAAATGAAAACTACACCTATAGTAATATGACACATGTTTTCCTTTGAGATTTGTTAGTTTCATATATTATTGTAAGAAATCTATATATAACAAAAAAAAATTAAATAAATACAAATGTCTCAGATACTAACTAGATAAGCATCATCAAACCAGAATCAGAAAATTATTAATTTATCGAGGTTCTAGTATATTGTGCCATTTTTCAATCATGTCTTCACAAAAATATGATTTTTTTTCCAAGACGCCAAAGAAGCCTAATCTGTTTGAGATATCGGGGTTTATTAATTATAATATTCATGATTGAATAATCATTGAGTTTATAAAGTTAAGTGCATGATTGATTAAATCCGTTGATGTAAGTCGTTTTCAAATCAAAGTGTAGAGCAAATTTTGCCGAAGGTTTAGGAGATTTATGTTCAAATAATTAATCATTATTTAAAAAATTAATCATAAAATTAATCCTCTGTTCAGCTTTTTTATGGTGAAGAAAACTATTTTTTTTTTATTTAATTTAATAAGTACGACGAATATTTTTTTTATAATATTTAATTTAATTGCTTTAATTTTTTATATGGACAGAAGAGTCAAAAACTGGAAGCAACCAAATCTGGCCCGGCCCAATATTCGTAGCTACTCCTCTCTTCGGGCCTACCTTTTGCGTAGTAATTCTAATTAAGGAATAAGCCCATTAAGAAATTAGCAAATCAAATATTTACACACTAAACCCTAAAAATGACATCGCTGCCCAACCACCCAAAAACTCT